CGGTCCCAAACGTGTTGCTTGTTACGAGGCAATACTGTACCGTGTAGTGTATATACCAAAGCAAAATAAAATCTTACAATAGACACTGTGGTGCAAGAATAAAAATATTTTAACGTTAGATTTTGAAGAATTTTATATTCTCCACAATTCATCAGAATCGTCAGATTTCATTTACGACATAATATTACGGAATCGGAGAGAAAAAAAAGTAAAATTATTAAATAATTTTTCCTTCAACATTTTTTTATTTTTGTTCAATAAATTAATTGAACTTATGAATAAAGAAACTGTTGATCATTGTCAGCCATTAGATTTAAAGAAAAAACATATTCATATAATATAATTTCAGAGAATATACTTTTCATAATACGTCAGGATCGCTCTGCATCAAAGTGAGAAAACAATATATATGTTCTGTCCTTTCTCTACTATTCTGTTCGGTCGACCGTGAAAATTTATGACTTCTTCGGTTTCATGGACTCAGCGGCGGGCTTCAATCAAAGAAGTGGGGATAAAAATTTGCTAATTTCGAGACTCGAAACTGTTGTTTATTTCGAGGCAATACTGTACTATGAATTAACGTGCCGTCCCGAAAGAAATTCCTTAGAGTAGGCACTGTGGTACAAGAATAAAAATGTAATTGTTTGCAATGCTAATGCTTTGTTAACTTTTTATTTCTTATCTTTATTTTTTATACAACTTGCTTCATCATATTCGTGCCATTTTGCTGATTACACTGAGAGCAAACAGGACGTAATTCGAGTTATACGATATTGATTCGTAACAAGAAACAGTTATGTGGCTGAGTGAGAGATCGGAAAAAGAGTGGCAGGTTCATGAAACCCGGGAAATCATAAATGTTCGTGGTTAACCAAACAGTTTAGTGGAAAAAGGACAGAACATATATATGGTTTTCTCACTCTGATACATAGTAATTCTGTCGTATTACGAAAAGTATATTCACTGAAATTATATTAATATGCATCTTTTCCACAGCTAATGGCTGACAGTGATCAATAATTTGTGGTTTATTTTTATCTATAATTTTTTGGGTAATCTATAGTTTTTGTCTTAAATATTTTAAAACTTAACTTATTCGAATTATGACAATCTTTGATGGTTTCAATCTACAAGCGGTCAACCTTTATCGCATGTGACCGTAATAAAACTAGCTGCACGTTCAACCGTAACTTTGAGCGTAGGCTACAAACTCGCCCAGGCGTAGCCGTCAAACTTTTTACGAGCACTTGAAGACTTGTTACTTTTTATTTTATAGTTTTGAGAGGGCATAAGTGTCCTTTTGTATCTCGAAAAGAAAGTCTTGAACATAAATAGCAATATTTGTGTATTATTTCTCTACCCATTTCCAACAGTTGTATGTATATTGCATTTTTTGCCGTTTCCTTTTTCTAAATTATATTGTGCTTCGCTAAGTAATTATAAGAACCCAAAAATATAATCCATAATTGAAGCAACTGAAATTTGTATGTCGCATATGTTTGACAAAATATAAGAATGTAATGAAATTTACATACATTTTTTTATATCTGCTGACATGCATGTTGAGGGGACGAAAATATGGATCGAAATGGGGGATCCGTGTTTTTGAAATTTTTTGTTTATTGTAATTTAGCAATAATTATTACATACACAATTTTCGTCTACTTTTTACGGAGAAAAGTGTTGAGATTCGTTTCAGTACAGCGTGAGCCCCTTTTATACCACCATTTGCCATGTTTTCAACAATTGGACAATATAACATGTTTATTGTCAGTGACCAGAAAAGGTCCAGCAGGCAGGTATTATACATATAAATCCGCTGCGGTTCCAGTCGTCGTTGTACGGAACGTAGGTTTTTATAGGCAATAGAACTTTTAGCCGAAAGCATGAGTTTAGTTATTTAGCTTTTAATATTTTCAACCAAATTGTTTCTCATTTAAATGACTTGATAATCCTGACAGCTGCTAATTTTGTTATAGTATTCAGGGTAATGTAGAAATCGAAGTGTAAAAATATCGCAAATTCCTAAAGACAATACCGGCTTTATACAGCCGTAAGATGTGTTCGGTTTTAGAATATGAAAGAATTATAAACATGATATTAATGTGAAAAGTTGTACGATGTAGCAGGGATACCTCGGGTGGATTCGTTTATCATCCAATTGACACGAGACCATATGCCAGTATAAGGAAAATAAACTCCACTTTTATGTGATTGTCGGGTGTGGAATTATTTGTAAATAGTTGTGTTTGAGAGAATCGATTGTAAACAGTTGTAAATGTTGTGTTCGAGAGTTATCGATTTGTTTAAAAACTGATTAGCGAGACAAAGAAGCGCGGAGAAAGAAACGGTAATCTGGGCGAATTTCAGAGGCGAAAGACGTTTCGAGAAAGTTGTCGAGAACGAATAAAAATACGAGAAAGTTGTGGAGAACAATTAGAAATAGCGTTTGAGTGTATTAATTTCGTTTAAAATAGTTAATTAAAAGTTTTGTTGTTTACAGTGTTAGTTTCGTTTGTTAAAAATAAATTGTTTTGTGCGTTTTGTTAAAATCTTTGATTTTATTCCCACATGATGTTCTGAATAAAAATGGTTTAAAAAAAAAAATTGGGAGTTCTGATTCGTAATCGGTACATGCTCTTTGGTCACAGGTTCGAATCCCGATGGACTGTGTGTTGTCCACGTTATGTTTTCCATTTCCTTTTCTTTTGTAATAATATTAATATACGATTCTAAGGGTTTTTCAATAAAACTAATAAAATAATTTTCAGAAAAAGAATACAACGACTTCGAAATGCACTAAAAAGTATAAAATAATTTCTATTTCCTAGTGAAGTAATTTCTGTTTCATTCAATCATACAATTACGTAACAGATATGAATGAAACCTATTTACTCGTTAGGTAGTATATTAAATACATTTCAACTTTTTCGGAGGCGGCGCAAAATTAAAAGATTTTCTTGAACATGTCAACCTTTCGACAGCCGAACATAGGCAAAGCATTTATAACTATTTTTTTTCTATACATATAACTCGACAGTACGCCGCGAAGTAGGTGTTAGTGTTAGTGCGTATGGAATGTAACTATTATAACTCGATAGCACGCCGCGAAGTAGGTGTTAGTGCGTATAGAATATAAACATGGTCTATCTAGCCCTTTGCGGAGGGGACGGTAGAAGTGAACCGTACCGTGGGGCCGAGCTCCTGCCGTGATAGTCATTAAAAATTGCTAGCACATATTTCTGCTTAAACGCGGTTTTCGTTCATAGCATTCCAAGTCAAATTCTGGACATATTATAAATTTCTCGGCCATACCCACGCATTTACGTGGGACACTTAGCCGCGCATTTACGTGGGACACATATATGCATTTCTCGGCTCAATCAACTATTTTCGCCAAACGCATATATGAGTTCTTCGGCCAATTTGATGATTTACGCAGAACGCATATATGCCGTGGTAGTCCGCAAAGGGCTAGATTCATAAAGTATGCGACGGAAAGACTCAATCGCCGCATATGCTATGAAGATAGAGCGCGTCTGCCGCAAATTTGGTAATTCCCGCCTCGTGGGCTCCGTTTATAGGTTCTTAGATCCATGGCTTCCACACGCGAACGAAGTCGATTCAATTTCATTGAAATGAAGATGCAATTGTTGCATTTACGTATATTACCAGACATATATGTAATGGTACGTATTCTTTCTCAGGATTTATTAATTTCCAATACGTCATACCACAATCAACTGGTTGTTGGCAGCAACGTTTACTGAGGTATTTTTAATTTTGCGCCGCCTCCGAAAAAGTTGAAATGTATTTAATATACTACCTAACGAGTAAATAGGTTTCATTCATATCTGTTACGTAATTGTATGATTGAATGAAACAGAAATTACTTCACTAGGAAATAGAAATTATTTTATACTTTTTAGTGCATTTCGAAGTCGGTGTATTTTTTTTCTAAAAATTATTTTATTTCACGCTTTTTAGTGGAATGGGGAGAATTGTATAAGATACTGTGAGACAATTCTTCCGGGCCTATTTTTTGTCTGCGTAAACGCCATGAGCATAATTAAGTAAAGGATAACATGGATATTCGTTTTTCAATTTTGTTTGCAACAGTAATCCTTTGCGACTAAAAAATGAAAAAATGTTTGATAATGGTACCAACGGGGAGTCAGCATCTTCCATATGCAAAAGGTTTCATTTCGATCGGTCCATCTAGCTAGGCGTAATGCACGAACAATAGGAAAAGAAAAAAAAAAAATACGGATCGAATTGAGTAACCTCCTTTTTCGAAGTCGGTTAAAAAGTAATATTTGATGGGATATGAAGAGGTAATAATATTTAAAATGAAACTGAAACACAGTAACTTTTAAAGGAACTAAATGAATTTATTATTAAAAAAACGATTTGGAAGGACCTCTTTAAAATATTTTAATTAAACTTCATTTACGAATATCTTAATAACGCAATATATGTTTATTTTTTGCAACACACAAAAATCTGATCAAAATTGAGCGGGATCTCAGAAGTAATTGATCGACGCAGGAATTCGATTATTATCGGCTTTTCAATACATATACATTTATTCTGGCTAATTTAATGAAATTGAAAATTTAACAAAACTTGTCTACGTCTGAACTGTTGCCTATATCGTACAGATATTACATTGATTAATATTTTACCGAACATAGAAAAGGGCAGCTGTTAGAATCTACTATTGCAATATATTTATTCGTAATTTCAAACGTTACGCTTATATCAAGAACTTTACTTGAATAAGTTATTGCTAATAAATATGAACCGAGTTACGTCGTTAATCTTATTTTGAAAGTCTTATGAAACATTAATTAAAAATAAGAAAGCGCATTAACATCGTAAACAATTAATCCGAAAAGAATATCGCGATCGAAAGGGGATGAGGTCCGCAAATGAAATAGTAAATTATTTATTAATATTTTATAATTTATTATTATTTTAATTTTTGTTAACACATTGGATTACACAATTATTGTATATTTGTGCAACGTTCCGTCGCTCGCGGTAAGGGCTGCGTGTACGGCGATACGATCGCGCACGCAGCGCNNCAGCGCGTCGCGTCCACGCAAGTGCTGGAATCTTTCACGCTCGCGATGTTGATATAACTCTCGTTCTACTATTTCCAATCTTCTTTGTAATTTCTCCCGCTCGCGACGTTCGTAAGTCCTCCTCGCCATGTCCTCCCGGCGGATTCGCTGTCGAGCTGACACATGGTAGTCTATTGTTTTCAATATTCTTCTAATCTGAAACAGAAATACGAAAATGTAATTTATTTTTGTCCACATTTTGTGTCAACATGTTATATGGGTTCGTATTGGTGTTGCCAATACGTAATGTATCGTAGGGAAATAAATCGGAATAAATAAATGTTAAACACATTACTTACTCTGTTATTGGAAGGTTGTTGGTGCGGCTCCTGAACTTTTTTCCGCTTTCCCTCTTCTGTTTCTTCAGGTTTCCTCTTTTCTTCCTGCGTCGTTACTTTCTTCTTATCGCCTTTTATTTCCATCTAGAAATACATAATTTACATATTGCAAAGTTGTAATTAATACTGACAAAACAGCGTACGCGTGTCATGAAACGCGAACTACTTACTTCTTCAACAGCTTTTTGTAAAGTTGCTACTTTATCCATGGTCACTTTGTATCACTTTACAATTACTGGATCGTCGATCGATGCCGGGGTTCGAAGCTATGCACCCCACCCAATCCCTCAGTTCCACCACTGTCACTCAGTTCCACCACTATCAATCAGTTCCACCAATATCACTCAGTGTCACCCCCGTCCATCAGTTCCACTCTCATCCCTCAGTTCCACCACCATCCCTCAGTTCCACCACCACCCCTTAGTGCCACCCCCACCCCTCAGTTCCACCACCGTCTCTCAATTCGCAAAAATTACATTACATTATTTTTTGGAACATCGGGAAATTGATACGTGTTCTTTTTTAAGTGATTCATTCTTAAGTGTAGTTTTTAAGTTTAATTTTAAGTAATTTATTTTTAAGTGTATTGTTTAGGTGAATTTTTTAGGTGTATTTTTTAGTGATGTGTTGTTAAGTGTAATTTTTAGTGATTTATTCTTAAGTGTATTTTTTAAGTGTATTTTTTAGGTGAATTTTTTAGGCGTATTTTTCAGCGATTAATGTTAATTTGTGTTCAATACTTATACGTGGAATGGAAGCTGCAATGAGTGCAACGATGAATGGACCAAGCGATAAGAAGAAACAAAAAAGACGGTTGTTTCCCTCGACGAGGAGGTATTCGAAGAAAAGAGCAACTCTTCAAATGCGACATCGTTTAGCTGCGGAAAAAAATGAAGAAATATCCACCATGTTTCCACCATGCGTCGTAACTACAACAGCACAAGTAGTAGAAACTTCAGAAGAAACTACATCGGCACAATTTTCAGACGACGGAGAAGATGGCTTGACAGTCGAAAAAGTAGCAGCAGCCGGGCCAAAGGAAGCGCCGTCTTTTCTAAACGGACTAAGTATTGTGAATATGCAGTACATCTTTAAAGAAATGAAAAGAATAAGCCATCATGCGGATAAGAGGGAAAATTGCGGTGTACAATACTTGGAAATAACTGGCGTAAAACAGTCGGGTCTGAAGACAACGTTCGCCGTAGTGTGCACTATGTGCCACTACAAAGGGGAAATCAAAAGTCAACCTGACGATGTTGAAGAAATGGATATAAATCGTAGTGCCGTGGCTGGGACAATGCTTACTGGAGGCAGCTATGCACAGATGGAAGAATTTTTGGCAGCCATGAATATAAAATGTATGCCGAAACGCCAATTTGTAAAACACCACGACGAAGTGTTCTTTTTTAAGTGATTCATTCTTAAGTGTAGTTTTTAAGTTTAATTTTAAGTAATTTATTTTTAAGTGTATTGTTTAGGTGAATTTTTTAGGTGTATTTTTTAGTGATGTGTTGTTAAGTGTAATTTTTAGTGATTTATTCTTAAGTGTATTTTTTAAGTGTAATTTTAAGTAATTTATTTTTAAGTGTTTCTTTAGGTGTATTTTTTAGTGATTTGTGTTAATTAGTGTTCACTATTTATACGTGAAATGGAAGCTACAATGAGTGGAACGATGAATGGACCAAGCGATAAGAAGAAGCAAAAAAGACGGTTGTTTCCCTCGACGAGGAGGTATTCGAAGAAAAGAGCAACTCTTCAAATGCGACATCGTTTAGCTGCGGAAAAAAATGAAGAAATATCCACCATGTTTCCACCATGCGACGCAACTACAACAATACAAGTAGTAGAAACTTCAGAAGAAACTACGTCGGCACAATTTTCAGACGACGGAGAAGATGGCTTGATAGTCGAAAAAGTAGCAGCAGCCGGGCCAAAGGAAGCGCCGTCTTTTCCAAATGGACTAAGTATTGTAAATATGCAGCACATCTTTAAAGAAATGAAAAAAATAAGCCACTATGGGGATAATAGGGAAAATTGCGGTGTACAATACTTGGAAATAACTGGCGTAAAACAGTCGGGTCTGAAGACAACGTTCGCCGTAGTGTGCACTATGTGCCACTACAAAGGGGAAATCAAAAGTCAACCTGACGATGTTGAAGAAATGGATATAAATCGTAGTGCCGTGGCTGGGACAATGCTTACTGGAGGCAGCTATGCACAGATGGAAGAATTTTTGGCAGCCATGAATATAAAATGTATGCCGAAACGTCAATTTGTAAAATACCACGACGAAATAGCAAATTCGTTGATTGCTGCTGCGGAAGAAGAAATGATAGCAGCGGCTGCAGAAGAAAAACGATTAGCCATTGAAAGAGGCGATATCGTCCCGCAATCTGGAATTCCACACATTCCCGTCGTCGCCGATGGGAGCTGGATGAAGAGATCATATCGCACCGGCGCATATAACTCTGCTTCGGGAGTTGGTGTGATAGTTGGATATCACACCCGAAAAGTTTTATACATTGGCGTGCGAAATAAAAGATGCACAATATGCGAATATGCTGCAAGAGATCAGAAAGAACCACGAAAACACGTGTGTTTCAAGAATTGGAGCAAGAGTCGAGCATCCACTGCTATGGAAAGCGATGCAATTGTGGAAGGATTTAAAACCAGCGTGGCAAAGCGTGGATTAATTTATTCGACCCTAATCGCGGACGGGGATAGCAGCGTTTATAAAAAGATTTTAGACGCAGATCCGTATAAGACAAATATTCGTGTACAAAAAATTGAATGCACGAATCATTTGCTACGGAATTTCTGCAAAAAAATGAAAGACATTGTGAAGAAAACGACCGCAGGCATTGTGAAGAAAACGACCGCAGATACATTGAGGAAAGCTGTAGAAAATAGCATTCGACGAATGCGAACGGCAATCGTAAAAGCCGCACGGTATAGAAGTAATGAAAATGTACCAATCGCCACAAAAATTACAAATTTATACTGTGACATTTACAATATTCCAAGTCACGTGTTTGGCGAACACGCAGAATGTAATAGAATAAATTACTTCTGCGATGGCAAAAGCAAAGAAAATGAGACCAACATCGTCCCACAATTGAAGAGTATGGGAGTATATCAGCTGATAAAGGACATACTTCAGCCGCTAACAGCTCATGCAGAGAGCTTATTGTACAACTGCAACAATAACACTGTGGAGAGTTTCAACGGCGTCCTTGCCAAGTACATCGGTGGGAAGAGATTAAATTTAGGTCAAAGAGGTTCCTACGGATTAAATTTCGGCCAAAGAGGTTCCTACACGGCAAGATGTGCTGCTGCCGTATTACAATACAACACGGAGGAACCACTTTCACAGATAAATAGAGCGATGAAGAAGAAACCGGCTGTAATTACATCAAACATGGAAGCAAGAAGAGAGAAGAGAAATGAAAAAAAATTTGAGAGGCAAAAGGAAACAGAAGTCACGACACGCACACGCAAACAATTCCGCTCTAAAGAAGATTCCGATTATGGAGCAAACGCAGCGAAACCGGACATGGATAGTACCATTTATAAGCTGCAACAAGAAAAACATATGGAGATGCTCCGTAATTGGCAAGAAAAGAAGGATACTATTCAAATAGAAACAATCGGACAGTCGAAAAATCCGCGATGGTATACCTACAAGTCGAAACTTCTAACGGCATCCAATTTCATCATCCTCGATGCGGAAAACTTAGAGCGTAATGGACAATTCTTTTCGTTTCGTACTCTTCGGACTTACCGTTGGGACCGTAGACCCTCGGCTATCAGTTTCGGCAAGCAGAGTCAAACCCGCGGCACTTACCGCAACAATAAGACCGATTTTATGACTTACTACTCAAACCGAGACGTCACTGCTGAAAATCAGTAAATTTCTAAGCGTTATATCTCGAAAACTAATAAAAACCGGGTAAGTACATAAAACCTTGATGAATTCGTCTTGAAAAGTACTATCACCTGATCGAAAAAAAAATATATAATTCCATTTAAAAAACGAAACTTCACCGTCATATCTTTTACATTAATAACAATAAAAAAATTTTGCTTCTGCCAAAACATAGCGCCTCTTTTACC